TTATGTAAACTGAGAAAATGACACACGCATGACGAATCAAACACCAGAAAATCTGACAATGCAGTCCAAAAAACATCTGTACACGCAACGTGAGAAAAAAAATGGACCCCCCCCCCAACTAACAAGCAGAACTAAGCTTTTACGAGAATCCAATTACCTAAGCTTAGTTCAACCCCCACTGTCTTGGAGTAAGCAAAACTGCAACTTTAACAAAGCAAAGGCAAGACAATTTTCGTTTCACACGCCATTAGTAAAGTCGACAACAGAACACCCTACTGCCTCCATTGTTAGTAAAAAGGCCATAAACCAATAAACCAAATGGCTCTTGCAACCGTTTCCTGTCGTTGTTACACTACGCTTTCAAGAACTACCAGTTAAATAAGGCTTTCACAATTTAAAAATACTTTTTTCCAGATTAAAATATACATGAATACAAATAAAAATATTAGAATAATAATAACTTGAAACACATATTAATAATTAAAATTTGCGACATAACACATTTTAAATTCTTTTTTTTTTTTCAACAAAAAATAATTTATTGAGGTGAATAAACAACTTCCTCCCAAGAAATAATTCAGCCTGTGTTTGCTAGTGGTATCGTGTTTAGCTGATTTTAATACATAGGCTATTATATTGACACAGCTATCTCAACATTTATAGTAATTTCTCACATAACTGCAGAAATTTTAACTATATTTCTGTTGACCTGCTTTGTAATATTTGATTGTAGTTGATCAGGGACCATTTTAAAATACTTTATATCAAGACTGGTACACATTTCCTCGAAAATTTAACTTACAAACTGCAAACCACTGGCTGAAATTACTTTTATTGGAGCTGCATATTTTAATATAAATTTGTGTAAAAATTAATCTGCCATAATTTTCATACATGCCGTTCTGAGGGGGAGTATTTTATCAACTTCAAAAAACAATCAACAATCATCAACTAATATCTGCTTTTATTTTTTTCATTATGTGGGTAAAGGCCTTGGAGATCAATTCCTATGATTTCATTAAAAAATGTGGCTTTTATGCTATTTAGGTTAAAGATGGGTAGAACGATGCCTTTAAGGAATCAGATTGGAACTGTATGCTCTCTGAAGTGAATCGGTTCTTTTTTATGATTTATTACTCACTAGCAATGACCTTGATGAATACGCTTCGAATATCAGTGGATCAAGTTAAGAATCTCTAAAACCAAATATCAGTGGTGCATAAAGGTGGGGGAAAAGCAGAAAGAACGCAACAAGAAGTGTGATCGGTGGAATCAATTCAGTCAACGCTGACACTCTAATTTCTTCCAAGTTTAGTTTTGAGATTCTGTAAGAACACCGTTCTACATATAACTTGCAATAAAATTCTAGAATTAAAAAATGCTCAAAAAGTCGAAAAATAATGAAAACTTAACTCACTTTTTTTACTTTGTTTTATCACTGTAATTGATACTATGTTACTACTACATGTTACTACTACCTAACACTAGAACTGTCAGCGCTACTAAAAATACTATATAAAAATAACTTAACGCTAAAAATTTAATAAAATATACCAATCTAGTATAAAAATATAATCAAAGTTTTGATTTATCAACAGAATTTTAGTTAACATTCCCAATGAGAGGTGGTTGCTTTTCTCATACATATCTCATACTGAACTACATAGGCCTGCTTTCAAAAAGATTTGTTCACTGAGCACTTAAATTAGCCAGAATGCGTAAATGTTTTAGAATAAGTTCATACAATATGGGATATATTAGCTTTCAGGACTTAAGTAATAAGGGGTAACCACAATAAGGGGTCATTATTTCTAGGTAAATAATACTCCACTAAATGTTTATGTAATTCCACTCTAAAATAGATTCCAAGTTCTGTGCTCCTTGACATTTATTGATAGTTTCATCGAACTCCTCCCATCAACTTCCGCTTCCCCCACTCTTTTTTTTCTTTTTTTTTTTTTTTTTTTTTTTTTTTTTTAACTCTTTAAATTAGCAAAACTTTTTCCAAACTTTTTTTCATGTAAAAGTTAACACTTGCTTCAGGTACAATCTTTTTAAAGTTTCTGATAACCTTAAGATAACCTTCCATAAGTTCCTTTCATCGAGCTCCTGTCTACCCGTATTTGTTGAACTCAAAAAATCTTGGATATGAGACCCTATTCGAATGACAAGTGAGTTATCCATGCAGTCTGAATTAAGACAAAAAAGTCCTTTGAAAGTTGAAATAAACTTTTTATTAACTCTTAAATTTAGCACAAGGCACCACTTGTATTTACATCACTTTCGGGTATTTAAACTTAGTTTGAAAATTAAATTCAAGTAGTATAATCAGAGACTGCAAAAAATGGTTTATTTAAGGCTCAGGTATTTTAATTGGTACATTTTTAACATGGCTAGAAAAACAGCTAAAGCCAGAATAATCTGTGGCAGAGCTGGCGACAGGACATAACTGCAGGTAAGGTTGCTAAAAGCTCTAACACTAAAACATTCAGAACCCTCAACTTAAATACTCTAACAACTAATTTACATTCTGTTGATGACTATGGAAAAAAGAAGTTAAGTAAAGGTTTAAATTTTAATAATTGGTTAATTAGTGTGAAATCCTTATACAGTCAAAAGTCGTTAATTCGGACACCCATAATCCGGACCTCAAAGCTCAAAATTTTCTGCGCATGCGCCGTGTTGACACATGCGCATAGGCGTTTACGCGTGCTCGTAAGACCTTTTACCACTGCGCATATGCGTGTGCGCAAGTGCAGAATACGTTTTCGCGTGCGCGTTTTATGTATAATCTAAAATTATCTATTTCAGTTAATGTTGATGATTGCATTGTTCCTTAATCTTCGAATTGGATCCGGCTTATTATTATATTTTGCAGACTGTAAGAGCAATTTTATAAAAGTAAACTTGAACTTTCGATTATGTCAAATAGAATTTCTGATTCTGGAGCTCCCAAAGGATCGTACAAAACGAAAGTATGTTTCGATGTCCATCAAACAAAAAGTGGAATCAAACGAAAGTGGAAAAAAAATGGATAAAGACATGAAGAATGTGACTGAGAGGTTAGTGAAAACGAAAAAATTTCGATTGACAAGTTAGTCGGTATTCTTAGCACAGCAATTAACAGGACTTGAACAGCGGAACTTTGTAACTGAACAAGAAATTATGTCTGTTTATAGAGTTAAAGAGAAAGTATTATCACATAAAACGAAGCAACTTAAACAACTTACATTGAAAGAAATGTTTAATAAAGTAAACAAATAAATATTAAGCCTTCTTTTTTTGTAAATTTTGATACCCTTTAGATCATAATTGCTCTTTGTTTCATAAATTACGGTTTCATATTTTTAATTTTAGAATTTCTGCATGCCATCTTGCGAGACTTAAACTGATGATCTATAATCCGGAAAAATCGATAATCCGGAATCGCCGAAGTCCCGACGAGTCCGGATTAACGACTTTTGACTGTAATTTAAAAGCTGTTTATCTTAAAATCTTGTTCAGTGGAGGAATGATATAAGGTTCTTGCATAACATCTTCCATTGTGCTTTTGATCTAAACTGAAAAAAAGTTTAACATGCATGGGTGCTTTGCCAATAAACCAGCCCAATTCAAAAGATTTTAACAAAAATTCACCTTGTCCTTGTTGTTCTCTGTCACCATGACACTAACTGTCCTCTATCTCTTCTTATCAGTAGGCCATTTTTGCTCATGGATGAACGCTGCTGAATACTCGAACAGTTGTTCCTGCCATTTGAAATGCTCTCCAGACTTGTGAAATAACACTGCAGGTGATCCTTATTCCTCAGATAAAGTCATACAGATTATGTCTCTTTGATTGCCTATTGGCCATATGACACAATAGTAACTGCTTGATTTAATTGAAATCACTGTACACTATGCAATAGCTTTCACTGAATTGCTGAGCATACCTTCCAACAAACTCTTCCTCCTAGTTGATGTGCCATATATGCACATGCCCTACTGTACCTGTCCCAGTTCTATCTCCTGATTGGTCTTCTGGTACGTTTTTATTATTATTATTATTATTATTATTTTATGCTAATTTATCTGCCTCATCCATAATTTTTGCACACTCATTAGCTCATGTCATATATTTATAAATAACAATATGGTTCCATGAGTGCTGTTATATAACTATTTACCTGTACAAAAAAATATTTCACTTACTTCAGAACCACTATCAGATGTGTTGATATTATAATTAGCATCCAAAAATGCTTGTATCATGAAGCTTTTTTACTGCTTCTTTGTGGCAATATTATAAATCCAAGAACCTCTGATCTGCAGCTTAATACATGATATTGGTACGAATAGAAACAAAGGGTCTAGTTTCAGATATGAATTCTTGCAAAATTTATAACATTCATTGCCCATGGGGTTTATTATACTATATAGTCCAATCTTGATTTAAATTACAATCTGTATTTTTCCAAAGTCTTCAATTAACTTAATTGTTTATGCTTTTGCCTTCTTATGTCAATAGATTTTATTATTCATTTCTTATTCTCATAGCGCATTATTGTAGAACCTTCATGAACTTTATCTTTCCTTGATTACATTTCATTCTGTTGAAATATTTTTTGATATCTTTCCAAGTAAAGATTAGGAATGTGAATCCCCTTTCTGAATGCCTTCTTCTTCCATGATGATCATCCATTCATTTTCAAGTAAATAACTAAATAAGATGTTTGTCATAAAATATCTTCATACTAATATAACATAAAAATTCATATAAATAGTCATATATTAAAGTTATTCATATAAATATTTCTATACTTTAAGATGTGAAGTATTTGATGGTAAATTTTATTTTGTCAGTGATTTTTTTCCAGTTTTCTTAAATTATTTGTATTACAATATGCATTTCCGTATGCTTAATTTAAATTACAGCTTATATATAATTATTATATTTGTAAATAAGTTGCTGTTAGTAAACTTGTTATTTTTTTAACTCTTGGATTCTTCTTTTCTACTAGTTAATTTATCAAGCCAAATTAAAACGAAAATATTCCATACCTTTTCTGCATCAACCCAAGAAGAATGGTGGACTTCTGTACCTACAGTGTCTAGTATGTTATTTGATTTGCTTTATATGTAGCTCAATAATTTGCTAAGGGGATAGGCAGTTATTTTATTTCTCAGTGTTCTGATGAATTACACTAGAATTTTTATTTAGAATGTTACACCTTTCATTAAAATTTCCTATTAATAAACATTAATTAAGAAACAAAAAATATATTTAATGGCTTTTAAATCCTAAAACTATCCCCATCTTGAAATAATTGCATTTGAACAAAAACTTGAGTATTAGGCAAAGTTAAAAATGAAAAATTTACTATATTATAATGTGATAAATATATTATAATTTTTTCTGAATTTGTTACAGAGTGATATTTTTTTATTTGTGTAGGCATTTCAAAGATAATATATATATTACCCCTTCCATAAGGAAAATTCGTTCATTACCAAATAAATATCTAGATAAATCTTAATGAATACATATAAAATGCCTGCTGATATTTTTAAATTTGAGTACTAAAAACAGGGTGTTCGGGTACTTTGACATTTCGTAAGGAAAAAGAAATCTGCTTGTATGAGTAGTAGCGAAGGTCCTTCATTGAGTGCAAGCTTCATATAGAGGCGCATTCATTTCACGTGACAAAGCCCAAATTTCAATGCAAGGTTCTTCAACACCTGTTCCTCCTACAGATTTGCAAGAATTCTGCTGTCGAACGCAATCAGATCGTCCTGCTAGGGATCTTTCTTCTGCTACATCCTCGTATCAACCATTGCAAGTCTCTAGTTCATCCTGATTGTTTTTTTACTGTGTTCAGGGAGCATTGGGCAGCAGTCATAATATCCTTATTTTGATGGCCGGCACGAATCATCATGATGCAAGCTATTCTCTTCTATGATTCAGGTGGGTTCCAGTCATCCATCCTTTCTGACAACTTTTATTTGAATGAAGAAGGGTCCAAACTTTTAAATGACGAGTAGTGTGTCTCAATAGCTCCAACCTACAGAAAAATATAATCAATTATAAATATGTCAAATTTATCCCGAACACCCTGTATAGATAAATTGATTATAAAGTTAGTTGACAATTATAGGTTCATTTTGTTTATTAAAACAGAATGAATAAAAAGTGAGTTGAACAGTCTAACACTATGACTGTTAATCACCTTAGAAGAGTTATTATCATTAGTGCAATTTCAACTGTTTTATCATAAATGAATTGTTATACTTTTTCAAAGAATAACAAAAAATTTATCAGCATTTGTAATACCGAAGGAATTATTTCTAGAGTCACAGATTGCATAAGTGAATCACCTTGTTTAAATGTGCAGAAAAATGTGATAGACTGCACAATAATACAGGGTGTCTATAATTAAAGAGCCCTATTTCAAAGCTGCTTACAAGCGAAACCAGTGATAAGAAAATTGTGAAATTTTGTGGTAGATTTAATAAAGAGATGAGAATTTCTTTCAGGAAAAAAAAAAAAAATAGTTGCAAATAAAGGGTCAGCAGAGGGTACTTATTATATTAATAAATTATGCTTTTAGCCACATCTTTATAATAGTTTTACAATTTTGTAAATTCTGTTACAAAGAGACATCTTCCACATGATGGCCATCATTTTCAGCTACCATCTGAAATCGCAAGGTGACTTGTTCCACAATTGACTGAAATGTGAGCCGAGAAATGTTCAACATGTGGCGTGAAACATTGGTTTTAAGATCAGGTAAAGTTCTTGGATCGTCACGACTTACCAGATGTTTCAAATGTCCCCAAGGCCAAAAATCGCATGGATTGAGGTCTGGAGATCGGGGAGGTCACACATTACAAAAGTGCCGGCAAATGGCATGTTCTTCTGTAAAATGACATATAAGAACATTCGTAACACACCATGCAATATGTGAAGAAACTCCATGTTGCATTAAGATTGTGCATGCAAGGCACTGATGTGCTTTCAACGATGCATATCACTGCCCGGTGATTGAGCATGTCACTGGACCTGTGGAATTAAATTCCTTGGAAGAAGTTCAGGCCAAGAATAAATGGCATAGAAAATCCACACCATACCATCATTTCTGGTGAATGCAATAGATTCTCTAAGGACAGGATGAGGATTTTTTTATCCCCAGATTCGGAAGTTCTGAGTATTCACTACACCGTCCAAATAAAAATGTGCTTTGTCTGTCCAGAGGGATATTCCAAGGCCATTCTGAATCGACCTCAAAGCAAGCAAGAAACTGAAATGAGAACTGGAGTCAAGCATCAAAATCATGTGGAAGCAACTGCTGCATTAGTGAATGATATTAATGAATTAGAATAATATCAGAGAATATTCCGCAAGATCTTTTGGACAGTTGAACATGGTCTATTCAGTCCCTTTGCTATATGCCAGACACTGGTGCTACCCTGAAAGTTTGAATCTGTGTCATCTGTGACCTAAAGCGCAACATCTTATACGGCTTCTGCAAGAAACAGGTTTTCCTCCTCTTCTAGGACAAACAGAAAACAATATGGTTTCTTCAGATTTCGTTATCCAGTTCCGAAGAATTTTAACATTCATTGGACATCTTAGAATCCCCTTTGAGGTCTGAAATTTCCATAGAGCAGCTACTGCATAATTACAGTTTTTGTGAAATAATTTTACTAACAAAGCACGATCTTGTAAACTTATTGTCATTGTGAGCAACAAGCATATTAAAAACAAAGTCTCCTGCTAATGTTTCTAGGTTTATAACAGCTGCTACGTGAAAAAATTTACATTTTCCTTGTAGGTTTTAAAAGTAAAATGCTCTCTGATGCTATCTCTAACTATTTTTGTTTTTTTCCCATTGAAAGAATTAAGTCCACCACAAAATTTCACAAGTTTCTTATTACTGATTTCACTTGTAGGCAGCTTTGAAATAGGGTTCTTTAATTATTAGACAACCCTGTACTTTAATTAGTTGTTCCCACTGAACATCACTGATGCAGTTTTCTAGCTAGAAGTTAACTACAAGCCTTCCATCCTTAAAGCATGTTTCCGAAGCACTAAAGTAATTTTATTTTGTGTATTAATTTCTTAAAATGACTTCATCTATCAAAATTTATTTTAGTTTGATATTACCTAAAATTATTTATTAATATATATGAGCTGGAGAAATGGGGTATATCTTTTTCGAGGTATCTGCTTTGCAATTTCTACTGGTTAAAGTAAATTTATTTTTAAACAAATTATAAATCTTAATATTAATCATCAGTTTTCGCTATAGAACTCCATTTGAATTAAAAGTTCTGCCCATGGGATTCTAAATATTTGAGTTAATTCGTATTGCATTTTTTGACTGTAGACTGACAATACTTTTCTGTGTGCATAATTTATTACTATTTCTATTTCCCTACCTGTTATGTTATAACAACATAGACTGTTACTGAAGTTGAAAATTAAGGGATCCAAAATAAATAGGAAAAAAATAAAATATCAATGATTTTAAAAGTATAGACTGTATTGCACTTTTCATTGACAGGTGATGCAGAAGTTCAAATGATTGTGCAGCACAGTTCACAGTATAGTTGGGATTACAAATGGCTGTGACATACAGCACAGAATTATGCACTGCACTGTGTTGCTATGTTGATGATAAATATCCTATTTTGACGTAGCCAGTGATATCAGCTAACCTCTGTACACTTGTAACTTTCAAGTAGTTCCATGACCAAAACTCACAAGGCCTGGAGGTTTCATAGCTACTCAGGCGAGAAAGAGTAACTGAAAACTCAGTCAGTCGGATGTCAGTCACAACAGGCTCTGAGCAGGACTTGTACAAAGCCACTGCATCTGCACAAATGTTCACTATAGAGATTCTATGTTAGTTAGAGATCGTTTTAGCTGTTATATAAAGTAAAATTTTAGTGTAATAATATATTAAGTTTTAAACTGGCTGACTTAACTTCCTCCATGGTGCCCGAAAAAAAATAAGGAAACTAGGTAACCAACTAAAAATTAAAAACTGAAAACTCTGATACTGTGTTGAGGAACTGCATGATTGATCTAAACCCAAATTACAGTAATAAATGTTTCTTTAAAATCAATTAATTCAATGGAGTTCAAATTGACACTTATTAAATCAATAACCTGAAAATAAAAAGGAATACATCTTACTGATGCTTGGGAAAAACAGAAGGTTATCTCTCTTAAAAAAAAAATACATTTCTTCAAATCACTGAAACTAAATACTCAGTTAATTTCATAATTATCTCTAGAGTGATAAGAATAAATTACTTTCCATGAGTTCAAACTCACAAACACCAAACAAGAAATATTCATACATATCAAACAGTTCCCCATAATTTATTAAAATTCAATGAGTACAAATAATTTTTCAGCATTTTCAAATAACCAAACAAATTATCAATTATCATCCATTGTTATAATAACTAGTACAGAAGAAGTAGTTAGTACATGTAATATTAAGCATTGTGTTTATTACTCTAAAATAATTGGCAATACCGTGACCTTCGAGAGAGAGAAGGCCATGACGCTCGTCGAACATGTCAGAGATGCTGCTTTCCATCTATCGTTTTTCCACCATTAGTTTTGTAACTACCACGAGGTGTGTGTACATTCTTGTAAAGCTCTGAATTTGTCAATATAGTTTGTTGTTTAGTGCTGACTTTGTTAATATTGTAGCAATGCCTGACCATTGTTGTGCACTTAAGTGCAATTTGAATTATGCTGGAACTGAAAATTACGAGAGTGAATACAGATTTCTAAAGGATGAAGCAAAAAAGCAGCTTTAGTTGCCGTAAGATTCCTCGCGCGAATTTCATATTATATAAACGAAGTGTTGTTCGTAAGAAACATTTTCGCGAAGATACAGTTGTGCGTGAAGATGTATTCACGGATAAAAATAGGGCGATTTTAAGAATTCCAAGAAAGCGTCCAATGTTAAAAGACGATGCATATCCATGCATATTTGACGGCTGTGATGTGGAGTTAAATGTATCAATGAATAAACAGCAAGCTTTAATATATATAACTGGTTATTGTGTACATTCTTTGAAACTGCAGTGTGTAATCTAGAAAGAAAAGATATTAAGTTTGAATAATTTATTGATTGAAGGGGGAGATTATGATAATCTTCCATTATCTTAAACAACAGAAACCAAACATAAGTGAACATATTTAGATATGGTAAGTAGAGGTGGTGTTAAGAAACCGTCCATACTAGTTTTTAATATTATAATCCATAGTTATTTCATATTTAAAAAACTCATATCAAAGAAATATGAAACACATTTTCAAAAATGCCAAAATCAGCATTCAGTCATTATTTTACTTTTTTAAATATTTATAAGTAATAGTGGGCTACTTGGTAATGGAATATGTCAGTCTTCCAACTGTGATTTCTTTCATTTTGTCATCAAAATGCTAAATACATTTGCAAACATTTGTTTAAACAATTATACCAAAGTATTAGAAGAGAGTAAGTTTTCTGCTTCAAATGAACGAAAACTAAAGAAATTAAAAAAGCATTAAATATTTTTATTTTCTTAATTGTAAAATGCAGTTTTATTAATTTTATTATAGTATTTGTAACCCCAAGCACTGCTTAGTTTATGCCATTTAAAAGATAAGTTATATGTATTTGCTAAGATATGACCATAGTATAAATATGAATGTTTGAATGTAGAGTTTTTACTAATAAAATATATTGTTTCCATTGCTTAATTTGTGTATATATTTGTGATAGCAGGAAAATTCATGATAAATGTTGATTAAAAAAAAAGTTTCATTGTATGCTATTTCGTGAAGAGAGTCTTCAATGCATGTGGTATGCTGTGTATATTTAAAGATTTTCTGTGCAGTTTATGCAAAAAAGTTTACTGATTTTAGAAAACGTATTTTTTTAATGAAATTATTATGATTATTCAAAGAATAGAATATGTTTAGGTATGATAGAGAGAGGAGATGTTAAGAAACCACTATAAATAACAATAAATGTGAATGTTTGATTATATGATTTTTGTTATTATATTTAAGTATAACCTTAGCTTTTTTCCTTAATTTGATATATGTGATAATAAGGAAGCAATAAATTTAAAAAAAAAATTTTTTTTTTTGACATGCTGTTTAATGAAGAGCAGATTTTATTGCACATAGTAAGTTATTGTGTATATTATTGAAAGCTCTTTCATGTACTGTGCAAAGAACGCTTGATGATTTTAAAAAGCGTATAAATGATAATCGTAATTCCCATTATCATAAAGCTTAAAAGCTAAAAATATGTATATGCACCTGCATATGATTGAAAGAAATGGTGTTAAGAAACATCAGCAAATTGTAATCCATAATTATTGCATTTTTAATCGTATAATATTTAAAAAAACATTAAATTTTACATGAAGTGCAAATTGCAGTTCTGTTATTTTTCTCTTGGAATTTGTAATATATCTCTTGGTATAAATATGAATGTTGCAAGTTATGTTTTTTAATTATTTCATTTGAATACACATTTCACTGTTAATACAGTGTATATACATTTTCACTGTTAATTTTTGTACATGCTTGTGATAGCAATAAAATTCATGATAAATGGGAAAAACTTTTTGTGCTGCGCTATTTAATGAAGAGCAGATTTAAATGTGCAGTTCTTACTATTGTGTATATTATTCAAATCATTTCTGCGCAGTATCCAAGGGAAAGTATCCAAAGGAATGTTATTGATTTGAAAAAATGAATAAATTGGCTGTGAGAATCTGCCATTGTCTAAAACAAGTATATACATATGATCAAAAGAAATGATGTTAAAAATCATCAGCGTTGCTACCAATTATTGTACTTTTAACAGCTTGCCATTGAAAAAACACTAAATGATTTTTTATTAATTGGAAATAGTAGTTCTGTTACTTTTTCTGGTAACTCTCAAACACTGCATAGTTTTTTTTTTTTTTTTTTTTTTTTTTTTTTTTTAATATTGCCAGTTGTGTATATTGTTTGTTATGTTATCTCATTTCAAATATGAACGTTGGAAAGCTTTTTTGTTATAAAATTTAGGTATGTTTCTTGTATGAAATATTTTTTATCACATTTATTAGCTAATTTATATAGTATTTAATTTACATACGTTGGAGATATAGAAGTTGATGGTTATATTTTTTGTTCTGAAACATGAATAAATTAGTACTTGAGCCTAGGTAAAATATTAATTATTATCTTAAGAACCCCTTTCCAATTTATCATGACAGTGGCAATTTTTAATCAGCGTTTAAATTTTTGTAAAATGTTTGTTCTGCAGTTCTTTCAATTATATTTATGCAAAAAGTTAATTAAAATATCTGTAAAAAGGCCTAAAAAGTGAAAATAATGTATATAAAGCTTCCTTTCTTTCAGCTATTTTAATTAACTAAGCATCATGATAAAGTTATATTTCCGACGAAAATTTAAAAATCCAGATGACTTTCCAACGATAACATCGGACGGAAACCTCCACCATGTTTATAAAGTGTCATGGCCTTCTCCCTCTCGAAAGTCACGGCAATACCCTATGCACATAATCCCCATTTTTTTAAAAGCCATAAACTCAAACAAATGAGTGTCTGGACAGGCCACCAATATAGATTAAATAAACATTCAAGTAATTGGGTTAACTGATCGGTTCCCTGCAATATTTTCCTTAAGATGCATTAAACACAATACTTTCAAATTGCTAAGTAAAATACCCTTCTTACAAATAATATATCTTATTGTAATATTCCTTTTAGATTCCATAGGTCACAAATTTAGATGGTTAAACAAATTTTCTAATCGTTCATTTACATACACATTAAAATAAAGGGTGATGACTTATATCTTCTAATTATCTCGTTTACATATGTATTAAAATAATTGATCATTACTTAATCACAATTAAAATAGAAAAAGCAGGAGGAAGCAAAATCATCATTCACAGGGTGAAGTCCATACATCAAACTTCTCTTACTAGGGATTGCAATTACCACCTGAATATTAATCTTTAAATCCAGCAGATCATCCTGCTTATTTCGTTGGACTGTTTAGGAGAATTCCACAGAAACCCAAACCATGGCAACTGCCAGATATCAATCAAGAATATTTTAATGGTTAGATTCACGCAGAGTTCACAACAGTTTCCTGTGCAGGTATGGGGAAAAGTCTGTGCAAAATTATCTAGTTCTAAATGGCACTTTCGTAGAAACACAAGGTGCCGGATACTGATAAAAAATTTTAATGATTCTGTTCACTAGACATTCACACTAATTTCAAGTTCAGAAAGGATTATCAGGAGATGCAGGTGAGGTGGAAATAGTCTGTGCTAAAATCTTGTGGTAAATTCCACTATCATCAAGAACACAAGGTGCTGGATAACTGATAATAAATATTTAATGCTTCGGTTCACTAGACGTTCACACAAATTTCGAGTTTGGAACGGATTATCAGGAGATGCAGGTGAGGTGCAAATAGACTGTGCTAAAATCTCACTGTAAATTGTTGTCAGTTAGGGCCCCTATTGCAATAAAGCTGGTTGCACTCCTTTGGTAGGGAAAAAAAAAGCAGTCCAAGCCTCTTTGCACAGGCAAGCCTGCAGCAAGACGAGTGGCCCCAGAATGTACACTTT